GTCTTACGTTAGCTGAACAGATCAATATGCAATGTGTATCGTATCTGACACACATTAAAGATTTTATTTTACCTGAAAAGGCTTTTTACTAAACTGTAATCGTGTTAGCCACGCTAGCACCGAGTAACAGGCCTAGGCACACTCAAACATTTGCCAACAACAGAAATCACTGATTCCAAAAGTAACCCTCAAAACCATGAATGCCCGACTTACCCAGCCTTGCAAGAACAATAGGCATCACTGAACTTGTCCACAGCTATATTTATGCTGAGGGTGTGAGGATCTGCTGTTTTCCTCATCGACCGGTAGCATTTAGCTGCGACGCGCACAATGTTGGAGGGATCGCGTGGCTCAAACACCTTGATGTCGTCCATAAAAGATGATATGAACTTGTTGGTTACCCTGTCCATTGTCGTGGCTGATATTTTGTGAAAATCCGGCAGAATTGCTACACTAATGGACTCAGAAATACTTTGTAGAGAGTCAGTTGAAACGAAAGACGCCATGTTTACACATAGAAACTAAGCCCCGCGAGGCTTTGTTTGTGAGACACGCAGCCACGTGGGACTGTCGAGGGGCGTTTCTGGGCGGGGCTTGGTAAGGTCCATTGTCCACCCCAAAGAAATAATGAAAGAAACACTTGTATTTAAACAATATCAATATAAAAAAGGCAATAGAAACAAAGAACAAAGTAAATCTGCCATTCATCTAAGAAAAACATAAGAATTAATTTTTAGGTCCCCCCCATCATTGTTAGAACAATGGTTCAGTCCAAAGAGTAGGAGGAGCAACAGCTGCCCTGCTGAGCGGCACAGGCTCCGCTAAGGGAGGAGCTAGCTGTTAGCTAGCTGTTAGCTAGCTGTTAGCTGTGGCTCTGCAGCACTAACAAAAAAACCTCCAGTAAGTAAATACCTAAAACAAAAGACATGAAACATCTTTTATTTACTTTCATTGCTGATAGGAAGAAGCACATTGACAATAAACAGTTTGTTATTTCATTACTTTGGCTGAATGATGATAAACTGCCTCCTTATGTCTTGGAAATCAAAACTGGCTAAGCAGCTACATTGCTTTCATAGACTTAGCTCCTTTTTCTGTAGAAGATAGACAATATTTCAGTTATATTTAGCTCTCTAACTCTTACTTTAATAAGAAGAGTTTGAAATTTGAGCAGCTGAGCGTTAGCATTAGCCGACAGCTCAGTATGGGAGCCGAGAGCAGAGGGGCGACTGCAGCTGGCAGTAAAACAAAATAAATTACGTATTTATTTCTTACCATCTTCAACATAGAGCCTTTAAAACCACAAAATAAAATCTGAATATTGTTCTACAAAACTCTGGTGCTGACCTTTATGTTTAAGTTATGATACTTCCCAGATATTCAATTCCAACAGATTTATAGGTTCTCAGCCATCCAGGACATGAAAAACCCATCAAAAATATAAGTTTAAAGCAACTTAGGTTATAATTTAAATAACATATGACTTTGTATTGAGAACCACTGCAATAAATACATTTTTATGAGGAATTTTATTAAGTGGAGTTACTTATTAAAACTTTTTATTTAGAGCCTTAAGTTTTTGTAAAGGTGTAGCAGAGATTAGATTGCTACTTACTAGTCATTTTTGGTGGTGCAGCTTGAACACAATAAAAACATAAAATTAAACCACATTTTACTGTAACTTTGCTGACCCCCCCAAAATTGTTCTTAAAAAATGTCCCTGTTTATGGTCCCCCCCAATAATGAAATGGGATTTACGCCCTTGTGTGTGAGTGTGTGTGTTGCTGTGGCTGCTGACCAGCAGGGACATGAAGAACTTGTGCAGGTAGATGATCTGGATGCAGCCCAGACTCAAGGTGACCTTCCCGTCCACCTTTGACATGTCTCTGTATCCGTCTCCCTGCGTCGCCCCCGGAAACAAGGACAGCTTGAAGCTGAACACCTCCTCGCCTACGATGGACACTGCCTGTTGGATGGAAGAAGGTTACACCACTTCTTGTTGCTGCTTGCTGCAGCCTCAGCAGATGGCGTCCCCTCCCCGTGTCTTGCTGACCTTCCTGTGGACGGTCTTGGGGTTGGCGTCTGTCACCATGATGTCTCTGAGGCGGGCGAACACCTCCGTCTCCTTCGCCTGCATAAACACCGAGGCGTCGACACCTGAGAGGAGGCGACACGGGTTAGGTTAGATCGGTCCTTCGACAGGAAGTCAGCTGACAGGAAGTGATTCATACCCTGGACTCTGATGTCAGCAATGCTGCAACAGTCATCGCACACCTCAACATGGAAGCAGCCCAACATGGCAAAGAGCCTGAACCTGAAGATGCCGCTGCCATCTTTACTGCCTTTAGACTCTGCAGAGCAGCACACACACACACGGAAGCTTAGTGGAAGAAGAAACTGTGTTAGAAAAAGCAGCAGTGGGAAAACTGAGGATCAGTGCTGAACAAAGTTTTATTCCCAGTGATTTGTGGAAAAGATTAACTATAATGATTTTCTGGTTGATGAAAACATTTGGGATTAAAGGAGAAGTTTTATGTTTTTAGTGCCAATTTATAGAGAAATCCAGTGAATATGTTACATTCAGCTGGTACAAAAATGCTACACATATTAAATATGACAAAACCAGTTTGACTTCCTCATTTAGCGCCTTGAAATTAGGCATCTGTCTCTAAGAATCTCCTGCTCTTTCTGAAGCTCCGCCTCCAGGAAGTCATACCAACATGGCTCCTCTATTAAGCCTTTCACGTTTTTACCAGCGTTGGTCTGAGCAGCAGCCCCTATGATGATCTCAGCAGCTGTTTGCTAATTGCTGCTGGCTAGTTTGAAGGAGCTGAGCGGGGGAGGAGCTGCGCCTCAAAGGCGGGGCTAGGTCCACCCAGGTGTTTTGTGTTCTCCCGCAAGCCAGCGTACCTGACCCAGCATGTGTGGGTGTTGTACAAGAAGAAAGGTGTGTTTTCGTTCAGCTTTGGTCAACTTTGGTTTTGGCGCTTTTGAAAGTTTGCAGTGAGCTCACACTCGCTGAGCTAGCGATGCGGCTTGGCGTGCCCTCCGTTGTGCTCAGGTGAAGGTGTCAGCTGCAAAGTGAGTTCAGAGAGCTGAGATAGACAAGTCTCCGTAGCGGGGGTAGTATCGCTGGCGGAAACACAGGGCAAGCACTGATGACCTTTGACTTGTCCATGCTAACAGCCTGCTAATGTTCCATCTCTCCACAGAGGAATAATGTTGCTCAAACTAAACCATTATTTTAGACCTGCCTGGTATATGAATAGTTGAGGATTTACCTGTGGGTGGAATGAACCTTAATATGAGTTTAATAGTAAAATAAACTGGTTGATGATATTATAGTTTATTGAGAGCCATCAGGTGATCCAGACTCACCTGTCCAACTCTGCTGTGTCTTCTGGACCTGCTTCTCAGCGTCCTGGTCCCGCGTGGTGCTGAGCCGTGGTGGCACGGTGCTGTTCAGATAGCTAATGGTCGCGAGCAGAGCCTTGGTGTGAAGCAGGAAGTCCAGAGAGGAAACTTCCACCTGGAACAGCAGAACCACCTGTAACACCTGCATACCAACCGGCACCTGCCTGGAAACCGTGAAGCACTAAAACCCACCTTCAGCGTCTGCTCCGTGTTGCTGAACATAGTCTGGAAACTGGGACCGTTGGGGTCGGCCTGCAGCGACACAAACAGAGCAGCTAGCCCCTCCCACTTAGCTGTTAGCCCCCACGAGCCCTTTGCTCCTCACACAGTAAATCAGCCCAAGCACACCTGAGGGTTGGTCAGCTCACCTTGATGAACTCCACCTTCAGCAGGTTGGAGTCCTGCTGCTGGGAGGAGTTGATGAGGTGGAGAGGACCGCTGCCCCCTGAAAGGTCAAACACCAGATTCAACCAAGGCTGAGACAGTGAACCGGTTCTGAACCTGGACTCTTCTGGGGGAGCAGGTGATGAAGACCCTGGAGTCTTCATCGCATTTAAGGTGATGAAGACTCCCAGCTGAGGAAGGTCAGCAGCTCCTCTGGATGCACAGCATCTCCAGACATTCAGGTGAGACGGATGTGGAGGCGTGGCCAGCACGATCAGGACTTTAACTGAGCCGTAGAGGGTGAGGTCAAAGGTCACACCCAGATGTGTCAGACAACATCTGACTTTAGTGTTGGGAGAAGAGTTTTTCTGTCCAACAGGACCCAGAGCAGAACCGGGTCAGAACCTCCAGAACAAACAGCTTCATGATGTGAACCATAAACAGTTGTCTTGTTCCGAACCGGCCGCAGAAACAATCGGGTCGACCAAAACCAAGATCTCGTCTTTGTTCAAACTTTGCATCATGAAACTGAGAAATTTTTTTCTATGCTTTGATATTTCGGCTCCAACTTCACTTCAGGCAGAAAGGGCGAAAAGTTTTATTCAATGTCCTGAAAAAAATCTGAATTTTTATTGAACTTAGTCAGCAAGAACCAGAACCAGCCAGAACCTGCCACGTCAGCAGGTAGCAGCTCACCTGGAACATCACAGTAGTCGACGGCAACGCGCCGCAGGTATGCAGCGACGCTCTGATCGAAGCTTCGCAGTTTCCCTTCGGCTCCGAGCTGGGAGACGTTGAAGGACAGAACCGTCTTCTCCTGGTCCTCCTGCCGGGTCAGCTCCAGCAGAACCTGAAGACATGAGGTCAGAGGTCACTCCACGCTGACCCCAGCAGCCACCTCAGCCCAACCACCCAGCAGCACCAGCTGACCTCTCTGAGCTCGAACTTGAAGTGAACGTTGATGAGTTCCTCCTCAGCCGACCGCTGGAGATCCGTCAGTTTCTCACCGCCGTCTTCTTCAGAGTCTGGAGGACAGACGGATGGCGAGGACAGATGGTGAGACAGCGTCCTGTCCGGGTCCAGGGTCGGAGCGAAGCAGCAGCTCACCTGTCTCGAAGGCGTCCAGGAAGGCGGGGCCGAGACTCTGAGTCAGAGGACGCATCGTCGCCAACGGCAACACCTGAGATGTTTCAGTCAGAAGCTACTTCAGATATTTGTTCAGTTTTGTCACATAAATGAACAAAATAAATGAACAGTTATTCCTGTTTCCCTGAATGTTTTTTCTCATCTAAACTCTTCTCCTCCAGTTTTCATGTTAATTATTTTATAAATCACCGTTTCACAAACATCTGCAGTGAATGATGCAGTGGGTTAGGGATTGGACTAGGACAGCTGACCTTCTCGGTGGTGGTGGAAGGAGCAGAGCCGGCCGTGGGCAGCGGGATGCTCTCCACCAGCTCCATGACGTTCTGGATCTTCTGGTCTGAGATTCTGACATGCATCAGCGGCAGCTCGCCGGACACCTTGAACCTGCGCACAGGAAACGGCGTCAGCATTGCAGCCGGGCAGCGAGGCGGGGCCAGGGGCCTTACCTTGGCATGCGGACGTCCTTCTCCACCATGCACTTGGCCAGGTGCAGCGTGAGGTCCATGGGCTGCAGGATGTGCTGCGCCGAGGAACTCTGCAGCCGCGCCGTCTTCCAGGCCTCTCCTGAAAGCGGTTTGCTGCCTCAGATCATCTGCATCAACTGAATTTGAAGCCGACCTGCTGTGTGACCTCTGACCTGACTTGCTGTAGAGCAGCTGGACCTTCCTCAGCCCCACGTCGTACCGCTCATAGGCTCGATCCATGATCTCCTCCAGAGACGAGGGAGACGATGAACTCCGACTGCTCTGGTCCACGCTGTACAGCTGCAACACAACCTGGATTAAACCGTCGCTCCGTCCCTCAGCAAGAATGGAGCGTTCGGTTTTGACCAAATAGCCCTGAACTCTGACTAAAGATGTTAAAAACTCAGGAAACATGGAGACATTTCAACAAAGTCAGAGGCAAACGAAGCTGACCTGGAAGCTACCGAAGTCCACGATCAGCAGGTCTGACTCGCTGCTGTAGAAGCCGGACTTTGGTACGATCAGGTACGACGGCTTCAGGTCGATCTTCAGATCCAGGACCTTCCGTGTTTCAATGACGTGAGACAAACCTGCAAAGACCAGAACCAAGCAGAGACTGATGGTGGAGCCAGCTGCTCTGATCCAGCGTCTTGCTGCTGGTCTCACCTGCAGCGGTCTTCTCTTTGATCTCCTCCAGTTTGGACAGTGTGGCCGACGTCAGGACCTCCAGGTCCACGCCTTTCCCCGTCTTGAAGAACTCCACCATACTGTTGACAGTCACCTGGAGGATGCAGTGGATCATTTTAAGGTTACTATGGTTACTTAAGGTTACTAACGCATGTGGACAGTCTTGTTAAGTCTTTTCTCTGGCCTCTGTATTACAATAAAGTATTTCAATTGTTTCTTTGCTTGCACCTTGAATGTTCCATTTCCCTTATGAAAGAAGATGCATATGCTTGCAATCGGTTTTGCAACAAAGTAGATGACCAAACTCCCTATGAAGCTCCGGGCTCAGAGTCTTCCAACACTAAGAAACATTCAAATACCGATTAAGATTATATCAATTCTTCCTCTGGTTCTCTGGTTTTTCAAACAGCTTTTCCTCACTTTGTTAAAGAAAATGTCCACAACAAGGAGAAGCAGGCCAACATGGAGCGGACACACCGTGAAGAGCTGGCTCAGACTTGACCTTTCACCCTCAGAATCCGCTCTCCTCCAGGTCCCTTCAATCTAAAGACCCAGAAGTGTTCTGCTAAAAGGCTCTGAACTGCCATAATTATATCCAATGAAAGTGAGAAAGTTTGTTCTCTCGTCACACAGAAAGATTCCTTCACTGGCTGACTGGCCCAAGTCTGGCTTTGATTGGCTGAAATGAATCTTTTGAGGACTCCTTCCCCTGAAGCAGTCAGGTTCTGATGCCACTGAAGAGAAACTGGGTCATCCTGTTTGAATCCATTTTTTACAAATGCTTTACTGAGATTTTTAGTGGTCTTAATTTACCACTAGAGCCTCAAGCAGGAATCGAACCCAGGATAACCAGACTACAGCCCCACCCAGCGCCCTGATGCTTTAACCGTCGCTTGGTTCTGAATGGACTGGAAAGCTGGGAAAGAGACCTCAGAGGGCTGGTGCCTACAGATGGCTGAGGCAGCAGAACCACAGAGCTGAGGCTCTATGGAAAGTGAAAACACTCTTCTGACCTACTGATGACCTTCCTCTGCTCCAGTTTTCCAACTCAGGAGTAAAAAGCTGACAAAACGATGGAGGTTCTGATTATGTGAACGTCTAGTATCAGAACCCAAAAACCAAAAGCAAACCTGGGGAATGTAACAGCTCTAATCAGAAAATATTCAAAGTATTTAGACCTTAATGTGCATAATTTTGCCCCGGCTTACCTCTCTGAGCTTCTTCACCCCTACATACCCCGTCAGTCTCTCAGGCCAGCAGATCAGCTGCTCTTGGAGGTACCGAGATCCAGCAGGAAGCTCAGAGGGGACAGAGCTTCTCTGTCAGGGGCCCCATATGGAATGACTTGCCTTTGCAGGTCAGAGAGGCCCCTTACCTGTCCACTTTTAGAGCTCGTCTTAAAACCCATCTATTTTACTTGGCTTTCAACTCCAGCAGGATCTAGTTTTAAATTGTAAGTTTTTGTTTTTAAACTGTAAGTTTTTATTTTATGGGGGGGTTTTTTATTATTATTGTTATGTTGTGTTTTAATGTGCAGCACTTTGCATCAGCTGTGGTTGTTTTAAAGTGCTTTATAAATAAAGTTGCTATTCAGATCTAAATATTTGCCTCAGCAGCGCCACCAACACTAAAACATGCAAGAGAGGCTTTCTTTGCGGATGTCATAAACAAAACCATTAACAATGCTCCAGCTTTATTTGCTACTGTTGACGGGTTCACAAACCCTCCTATGACGTTACCACCTGAACTTCAATCTAATGCCTGCAACAAGTTTTCAGCTTCTTCTCAGAGAAAATTCAAAAGATCAGAGGATTAATCTGCACATCCACTCTAAAGCCAGTACCAATGCGGAGCCCAAACAAAACAAATGCAGGAAAAATGACCCAATTCCAGCTACTTCATTATAAAACCTTAGAAGAAATGATAAGTCAGTGAAGCTCCAGTTCCGATCCTCACTTTTCTTTAAGAAAGTCCTGCCTGTCATTAATGATCGGATCCGAATAGTAACTCATCGCTCCCTTCAGGTGTTTTCCCTTGGAAACAGCAGCTATCAAACCACTGATAAAATCACTACTGCAGAACTACAGGCCGACCTCTGACCTCTGACTCATCAGCAAAGTTACTGAAAAAGCTTCAACAGTTAAATAACTTCCTAACGATAACCAGTCGCTTTGACTGCTTCCAGTCTGGTTTCCATGGTTACCACAGCATGAACACTGGCCTCAGTGGCGCAAAAAGTGGGTATGCAGCGCATGCAAC